AAAGACAGAATGTCGCTATATACAGGGGGTCTTTACTGTATTTTATTTCACCTATTAAAAACCAGAATTTGAATTTTACTTGTAATAAAAAACTATTGCAACAATTTGACAGAATTGGCGAAATATTGACAAATTAAAATATACGGTTCATAAATGAAACTTAGTCAATTATATTAGCGTGAAGCAAACAGTTATGCTTGAAACGTTAAAAGCTCAGTGGGTGTTTGATTACAGATGTAGCACGTTCGATTCTACAAGTATCTGTTATACATATTCTCTCGTTTCGCATATCATTTTAGAATATCATAATGTTAAAAATAACGATTAATTGAGGATTCACCATAAATGCTGTATTAAAAACATTACTATCAAATCGGTCTTTGCAAATATTCATTATTCACTGTATAGCCAAATTTATGGTAGAATTTATTTTGAACACAAAAATTAAGAAACAGTACTTTAAACATGAAATATAATGAAACGCTGTACATAAATACACGTCTGCGGATTTTAGCGAACCGGCAGCCCTGACAAAGGAGTGTTGCGTTGTAAATCTTCATACAAAATAAAGATATTTCAATATATATTGTCTTCTTTTTTTTGTCTGTACATGCTACGGGCACTGTAGAGGATCTGTCGATGTTTCACTAACTATTTAATCAGTATGCAACTGACATGTTAATAAAATCGAGAAATATTACATTTTACTCAAAGTTTTACTATTTAATGTTATTCTGACAAATGTCAGATTAGACTATTATTTCTTTCCTCTTGTAGAAAGTGGGTAATACTGAAGTACATCTTTATTCACTGTTTTATATACAAAATCTGTATTTACAAGAATAAAAAAATCATATTTTGGTAATATCTGATTGTGTAATTAAAAAAAATACATATTTTAGTAAATACGAACTTCATTCAAAGTTCCCGCATATTATGAGTGTACGGATCACGGTATATTACTAATATTAGTCATATACGTATTGCATGATATACGGTCCAGGCCGTACATCAAATTTCACTTATTTTTACCTGTCTATCTATAATTCTGTACCCTTTATTGTATCCATATATTTTCCGCAGTGGTCATAAAAGCATAAAATGCCGTAAAAAGCGGGATTTTGACACAGGGCGATCGTTTTAATAACATCAAAAAACCAAACGCCCCGTGATAGTGTGACTTTTATCCAATGGGGTGGGGGGAATAAAATCACGTGTACCGAAAAAATTGAGTCGGTGACCCCCTAATTTTTTACTTGTTTTGACTGAGTATACATTTTAAAGGACGTTTAAAGAAAAAAAAAAAAAATTATCTCAGGATTTTTTTAATAAGCCGCTTTAAAGCCAAAAATTGCGGCTAAACTGAATGTCAAATTTTACACAAAATTGACAATTTTCTTTCCATTTCTCAAACAATTTTCGGCGTAAAACAATAAATTTTATATCTGCCTAAAGGAAAAAATAATTTCTGTCGAATGCTGTAGGATTTAAGATATTTTGTCCGCCAATGGCGTTGAAATTCCCGTAACAGTTGCCAAGGATACGCAACGACGTCATGTTCAAAAATGGGCTTTGATGGTCAACTTTGACGTCATGTGTACAAAAATTGGCTGAAACTATTGAATAAAATCAACGAAATCGAATCAGAAATATGGTCAATTTTCAAGACGCTACTCGAAAGTTCGCAAAGTGTCGCGTTCTACCTTAAGTACTATGGAAGGTATTCATTTAAATTTTAAAGCATGTCTTTGTTACCATAAATAAAAGTCACTATCCAAGGCAACTCTGACATGTGTATATATTTTGGTTGAATAACCGTCCATTTTAATGTTGAAAATTCTTAGTTAAAGTGTGCCTTGCAAAGTCACTCTTCAAAACTACAGAAAATATTCAGTTGAAACTTAATGTAACGTCTTTAGAATCATATTTGAAAGTTACAACTAATTCAGGGGTAATAACTCAACTCTACAATTAATAATTCAACAACTTAACATGTGGGTCAACATTTCTGTAGTTTCACAACTCCTGGTCAATTACTTATTTGACCTTGCACTACTCCGGCTTTGATTAATGACACTGAAAACTTAGGGTTTTAGCCTTGCCTGCAACTACTCATGCTTTGATTAATGACACTGAAAACTTAGGGTTTTAGCCTTGCCTGCACATCAGTCTTTAAAACAAATGAAGATATTCATTTGAGACTCAGAATATCTTCAGAATGGTAATTGCAAGTCAGTTACCAAGACCAATAAAGCTTGCGAAATACAGTTGCTTGTGTACATACAAAATTACGCTGTTTATACCCCCAAAAACGAAGTTTGGGGGGGTATATAGGAGTCACTCGGTGGTCGGTCGGTTGGTCGGTCGGTCGGTCGGTCCAGACGTCCGTTGCATTTTCCTTGTCCGGAGCATAACTTGAAAACTAATAGTTGGAATTCAATATAACTACATACAATGGTCAAGCACATTGAGAGGAAGTGCAGTGCACAAGAACCATAACTCTATCTTGACTAATTACAGAGTTATTGCCCTTTGTTACTTTTCCTTGTCCGGGGCATAACTTGAAAACTACTGGTTGGAATTCAAAACAACTTCATACAATTGTCAAACACAATAAGGGGAAGTGCAGTGCACAAGAACCATAACTCTATCTAAAGTAATTACAGAGTTATTGCCCTTTGTTGCTTTTCCATTGCTTTTTTTTTTGTCCGTTGCATTTTCCTTTTCCGGAGCATAACTTGAAGACTAATTGTTGGAATTCAATATAACTACATACAATGGTCAAGCACATTGAGAGGAAGTGCAGTGCGTAAGAAACATAACTCTATCTTGACTAATTATAGAGTTATTGCCCTTTGTTACTTTTCCTTGTCCGTGGCATAACTTGAAAAACTACTGGTTGGAATTCAAAACAACTTCATACAATTGTCAAACACAATAAGGGGAAGTGCAGTGCACAAGAACCATAACTCTATCCAAAGTAATTACAGAGTTATTGCCCTTTGTTGCTTTTCCATTGCCTTCTTTTTTTGTCCGGACCATAACTTGAAGACTAATGGTTGGAATTCAATATAACTACATACAATGGTCAAGCACATTGAGAGGAAGTGCAGTGCATAAGAACCATAACTCTATCTAAAGTAATTACAGAGTTATTGCCCTTTATTACTTTTCCATTGCTTTCTTTTGTCCGGACCATAACTTCAAGACTAATTGTTGTAATTCATTATAACTTCATACAATGGTCCAGCACATTGAGAGGAAGTGCAGTGCACAAGAACCATAACTCCATCTTGATTTATTACAGAGTTACTGCCCTTTGTTTCTTTTCCTTGTCCAGAGCATAACTTTAAAACTACTGGTTGGAATTCAAAACAACTTCATACAATGGTCAAGCACAATAAGGGGAAGTGCAGTGCAGAAGAACGATAACTCCATCTTGACTTATTACAGAGTTATTGCCCTTTGTTTCTTTTCCATTGCTTTCTTTTGTCCGGACCATAACTTGAAGACTTATTGTTGGAATTCATTATAACTTCATACAATGGTCAAGCACATTGAGAGGAAGTGCTGTGCATATGAACCATAACTCCATCTTGACTTATTACAGAGTTACTGCCCTTTGTTACTTTTCCTTGTCCACAGCATGACTTGAAAACTACTGGTTGGAATTCAAAACAACTTCATACAATGGTCAAGCACATTGAGGGGAAGTGCAGTGCACAAGAACCATAACACCATCTTGACTAATTACAGAGTTATTGCCCTTTGTTACTTTTCCTTGTCCAGAGCATAACTTGAAAACTACTGTTTGGAATTCAGTACAACTTCATACAGTTGTCAAGGACATAAAAAGGAAGTGCAGTGCACAAGAGCCATAACTCCATTTTGACAAAATACAGAGTTACTGCCCTTTGATAGTTTTCCTTGTCCGGAGCATAACTTAAAACGTACTGGTTGGAATTCAAAACAACTTCATACAATGGTCAAGCACAATAAGAGGAAGTGCAGTGCACAAGAACTATAACTCTATCTTCAGTATTTATAGACTTATTGCCCTTTGTTCTTTTTCTTTGTCTTTCTGGACTTATTACAGAGTAATTCAATTAAACTTCATCAATGGCCAACCACATTCAAAGGAAATGCAACATATATGAACAACAATTATCTTTAATTGCCCACAACCATAACTCTATGTTTCAATTCTTTTACAAGGTATTCTGTTACTAGTAACATCCTCATTTCCGAAGCAGACTTGTGGGGGTATTAATCACATTTAGTGATAGTTCTAGTTTGATTAGGGAAAAAACATCCAACTATTCAAAAATTGCTGGTTAAAATTATTTCTGGCTTGCTTGCAATACCATATTCGAAGATAAAGAGTAACACAACGTCAGCATAAGTTTTTCATTTTTTTTCCCAACTTGTAAGGCTTCATTATATTGAGAAATTCAAATTGAGCAATTCTTACTTCAAAGTGACATAATCCATAATTATCTACTAAAAAAACAACATTTTTTCTTACAACACACTGTATACTTTCCCATTAAACTAGTCACACATCAACTAAATTTGAAACTAAATGATGCTAATATATAGATGACTTAAATGCGGTCTTTATATGTCAAGCATTTTTTATTGCTATGGCTTCAAATGAATAGAACAAGAATCCAAAGTCTATATATCTCTAAGTTTCGAACATTTTCAGTATGACTGTTTTCTCTCTGATATTTATTAAGTGTCTTATCTAAAACAATAAAATCAATCTATCTTATTTATTCCATCCCATCCCAGTCTCCCTCTTTTTATTGCAGGGGGGGATATAGTTTTGGCGTTGTCCGTCCGTCTGTCCATCCAGACGTCCATTCCTCTGTCAGAATTTCGTTTCGGGACTAGTTCTCAATATCAAAAGGAGTATGCATATAGAGTAAAAATCGTTTCCGCACTACTTCTCTGCAACTACTGGCTGGAATTCAAGGAAACTTTATTGGAACCTTTAATATCAAGAGGGGATGCGTATATCGTCGGCTTGTTCCCGTCCAATACTTAAACTCAGAGTTATGGCCCTTGATAAGTTATGCAGTATTCATATAGAGTAAAAATTGTTTCCACACTACTTCTCTGCAACTACTGGCTGGAATTCAACGAAACTTTATGAGAACCTTCAATACCAAGAGGAGATGCGCATATCGTCCCCTTGTTCCGGTCAGACACTTTAACTTAAAGTTATGGCCCTTGATTAGTTATGCAGTATGCATATAGAGCAAAAATCATTTCAGCGCTACTTCTCTGCAACTACTGGCTGGAATTCAACAAAACTTTATGGGACCCTTCAATACCAAGAGGAGATGCGCATATTGTCACCTTGTTTGGGTCAGACACTTTAACTCAGAGATATGGCTCTTGATTAGTTAATTTTGCAGTATGCATATAGAGCAAAAATCGTTTCCGCGCTACTTCTCTGCAACTACAGGCTGGAATTTAACAAAACTTTATGGGAACCTTCAATACCAAGAGAAGATGCGCATATCATTACCTTGTTGGGGTCAGACATTTTAACTCAGAGTTATGGCCCTTGATTAGTTATGCAGTATGAATATAGAAAAATATTCGTTTCTGCGCTACTTCTCTGCAACTACTAGCTGGAATTCAATGAAACTTTATTGGAACCTTCAATACCTAGAGGAGATGGGCATATCATCGCCTTTTTTGGGTCAGACATTTTAACTTAGAGTTATGGCCCTTGATAACTAATGCAGTATACAACCAGAGCAATAATCGTTTCCGTGCTACTTCTCTGTAACTACTGGCTGAAATTCAATGAAACTTTATGGGATATGAAGAGGAGATGTGCATATAGTTGCCTTGTTCTGGTCAGACACTTAAAACTCTGATTTATGGCCCTTGATTAGTTATGCAGTATGCATACATCTCATTGGTATTTCCAGATATTACTATTTAACACAGAGTTATGGCTCTGTTATTGCCCTGAATATTTATCAAGTTCAAAGAATATTACTGTTTATGCCATGATAAATATATAAATAAAGCCTTATGTCTTCAGTTGTTGTGTTAGTAATAACCAGTACTCGGCGGGGGATATAAATTCAACGAATTTGCTTGTTGTTCTTATATTTTCAATTATATGCTATTACTTTTGATCTAGATTCGAGGTATGTGTGTGACACAAATCAATACTGGACAGACAAATTCAGTAAAAGATGTTATTGGTGTTGGCGTATTTGTGATATGATACCATCCCAGCGCTCTGATTCATGTAACAAAAGTTGCCCTTGTAAGTATGATATTTACACTCATCATTTGCTGTACTTTTTAGATCATCTAAGCTTATCAAGCTCATGGTGAACTTATATCCTGTTTACAAGAATTTAAACATTTTGGTCTGGTACTTTTGAAAAGACCAAATACAATAGATTTTAGTTATCATTTCTCTTCCAGAATTAATGTGCTTGCTTTCATGTTAAACTTTTCGTTCAAATAATTAAGTTTGGTAAAACTTAACATGGATATCTATGGTCACTGGGATCAAGGTCACTGGCGCTTTAAAAGATTATTACACTTTTGCTCTTACTGCCTTTATTGACTGATGTGCATTGAAATACATTGATAACCACCTCCGTGGTCGAGGGGTTAAGAGTCGATAACTTCTAATTCAGTTACCTCTCTGGCGTGGGTTTGATCCCCGGGAGATGCTTTGGTAGTTTAGCGCGGAGGAAGGTAGTCTAGTAATGGTGTAACTCTCCAGGAACGATGGGTAGGAAACTACCCGCCTCTATGACTGAAATACTGTTGGGAAAAGGCGTGAAATGAAACAAACAAACAAATGAAATACATTGACAAATGTGAGGGTAGGGTAGCATCTATTGCCTTAGTCAATATTCTTTTTTCAGCTTAACTAAGAAACACATACAAATCCTGTATAATAAGCAAATAATGAAGAGACAAAAATCAACAAACAAATGCAACCTGTATGCCATCAATTCTTGTTATTTTTGTTTAACAGTAAGATTCAGTTATAATGATTTTTGTATGCTCACATAGTAGAATAAGTAAACACACTGTGTATATCCTGTAATGCAGGAATGTGAAAGTAATATTGTATGTGCAGATTCATTTCATTCTGTTTGTGACTGATAGATTTATTATGTACTGGTCTGTCTACTTACTGTGTTGCTCGTTTTTGAAGAGAACTTATGCACTGTTAAAATTTTAAAAAGAAATAATTTGATAATTTTTGATACTCTCTAGTTGGACATTTGTTTAAATTATTTTTGAGGAACGTGAAGACAGGCCAAATGCAATATTTAGATGGATAGTATGAGTGCAAGTCTAATATATATTACATTTTACATTTTATGAATTTCAGACTATTCAGAGGGACAGAGTAACATGTTGAAGGTTGATGATACATGCAGCTGCAATTATGATACAATTATCATTGTCACAGTATTCATCATGGCTGTGGTGACTGTGTTCATAGGCTTGGTAGCTTGGTGGCAAATAAGGAACAAGAATCGCAAGGATAAAGTGGCTGATGACTCAGTTTTGGATTCAATTGATACGGTATCAATTAATGATTTATTTCTATCACTCAAAATAATTATGGTTTTCTTGATTTTGAGCTGCTGAATAAAAGTAAACTGTGCTGAATTTTAAGAAACAGAACTAAATTAAAAACTCATATATATATATTTATAGTCCATGTTCATTAGACATGATACATATATTACTACTGTTGTATTATCATGATGATAAAGTCTCAAATGAAGCATTATTAGTTTATTTGTATTGTCAAAATGTGCCTGAACAAAAAATACACTGTTATAATAAAAACAAACCATTCAGGTAGCTTGCCACCCCATTTTTAGGTGCTCCATTATCACCCTAACCTCAGCATAATGCTCATGGACCTTGGTCTCCCCCCCACCCCCAAAAAAAAATTTGTATTTTTACCAATTATGATTTTTTTCATATAGATTTTATATACACCGTAAGTTGTTTGGCATTTATCATGGTAACAAAGTACTAAATTTGTGTGCTTGTGGAGGCACAATTATAGTAATCTATAACGCATCTTCACAATTTTCAATTGTCTCAGATGTAGGACAGGACACACATCAAAATTAATTTGTGATTAATTTTTTTCAAGTGAATTGTTTATTTATACATCTGAAAGGTCCTTTAATACAATGCTGTCAGCTCATACTATCTAATGAATATGGGAACTATTTGAAATGGTATATCTTTGATGTGAATCCTTCCATTTCTCTTATATGGCTAAAATTTTCATATGTGACTAGAAGCACAGTAGAGTAGCCACTTAAGTAGCCATTAGTTAGGATATTTGATTGTTTGTTGGTAATTTTGTGTTTGGTCAATATCTATTGTTGAACCCATTAAAGAAAATTGATAATATATTGGTCAAATTAACAATTGAGACACTATGTAGAAACCGAGTTTCAGACACCAAACTTCAAGGACAAGGTGATAAGTGTTTGTTAAAGCTTTGAACCTGTAATTTTGTGTCCTGTCTACATTTTCTATGATAGGGATATCAATATTATTTTCTGATAAAACAATGTCTAGAACTTTATATGCTCCCCGAAAAATTTTGGTGGAGCATATAGTCGGCGCCTTGTTCGTCCGTCCATTGTCTTGTCCGGAGCATAACTTGAAAACCCTTGGAGATAATTTGTTTAAACTTCATACAGTGGTAGAGGGCATTGAGGGCGAGTGCAGTGTCAAAGAACCATAACTCTATTTTGCTCGGTTTTTGAATTATCTCCCCTTATAGAAAAATCTTGTCCGGGACATAACTCAAAAACTATAAGAGATAGCAACATGAAACTTTGTAGGTGAATAGATCTCAATGGATAGATGTGCAGTGCATAAGAACAGTAACTCTTTTTTTCCTAATTTTGTAGTTATTGCCCTCTATTAATTTTAACACTTTGAACTTTGTCCGGAACATAACTCTTAAACTATAAGAGATATCAAGATGAAACATTGTAGGTAAATAGATCTCATTGAGTAGAAGTGCAGTGCAAAAGAACTATAACTCTGTTAAGCCTCTTTTTTGAATTATCTTTCCTTTTAGAAAAATCTTGTCCAGGACATAGCTGTAAAACTATAAGAGATATCAACATGAAACTTTGTAGGTAGATATATCTCAATGGGTAGATGTGCAGTGCACAAGAATCATAACCGTGCCTTGCCTAATTCTGGAGTTACTGCCCTTTGTTTTTACTTTTTGAACTTTGTCTGGGAAATTGCTCTAAAATTATTAGATATATCAACATGAAACTTTGTTAGTAGATTGATTTCATTGAGTAATAGCGCAGTACAAAAAAACATAACTCTGTTTTGCCCAATTATTTAATCTCCCCTTTTAAAAAAATCTTGTCCGGGAAATAACTCTAAAACTACAAGAGATATCAACATGAAACTTTGTAGGTAGATGGATCTCAATGGGTAGATGTGCAGTGCACAAGAACTTGAACTCTGCCTTGCCAAATTTTGTAGTAATTGCCCTTTATTCATTTTTATGCTTCCTGAAAAATTCGGGGGAGCATATAGTCGCCGCCTTATCCTTCCAACCGTTCGTCCACTTTTCTTGTCCGGGACATAACTTTGAAACAACAAGAGGTATCAACATGAAACTTTGTAGGTAGATAGATATCATTGAGAAGGTGTGCAGTGCATAAGAACCGTAACTCTGCCTTGCCTAATTTTTGAATTATTCCCCTTTGTTTATTTTTACACTTTGAACTTTGTCTGGGACATAACTCTAAAAGTATAAGAGGTATCAACATGAAACTTTTAGGTAGATAGATCTAATTGAGTAGGTGTGCAGTGCAAAACAACCGTAACTCTGCCTTGCCTAATTTTTTAATTATCCCCCTTTGTTTATTTTTACACTTTGAACTTTGTCCGGGACATAACTCTAAACGTATAAGAGGTATCAACATAAAACTTTATAGGTAGATAGATCTCATTGAGTAGGTGTGCAGTGCTTAAGAACCGTAACTCTGCCTTGTCTAATTTTTGAATTATTCCCATTTGTTTATTTTTACACTTTGAACTTTGTCCGGGACATAACTCTAAAAGTATAAGAGGTATCAACATGAAACTTTGTAGGTAGATAGATCTCATTGAGTAGGTGTGCAGTGCACAAGAACCGAAACTCTGCCTTTCCTAATTTTTTAATTATTTCCCTTTGTTTATTTTTACACTTTGAACTTTTTCTGGGACATAACTCTAAATGTATAAGAGGTATCATCATGAAACTTTGAAGGTAGATAGATCTCATTGTGTAGGTGTGCAGTGCACAAGAACCGTAACTCTGCCTTGCCTAATTTTGGAGTTATTGCCCTTTGTTTATTTTACACTTTGAACTTTGTCCGGGACATAACTCTAAACTATAAGAGGTATCAACATGAAACTATGTAGGTAGATAGATCTAATTGAGTAGGTGTGCAGTGCACAAGAACTGTAACTCTGCCTTGCCTAATTTTTGAATTATTCCCCTTTGTTTATTTTTACACTTTGAACTTCGTCCAGGACATAACTCTAAAACTATAAGAGGTATCAACATGAAACTTTGTAGGTAGATAGATCTCATTAAGTAGGTTTGCAGAACACAATACAATAATACTGTCATGCCTACTTTTGGAGTTATTGTCCTTTGTTCATTATGACACTTTGAACTTTGTCCGGGATATTACTCTAAAATTATAAGAGATATCAACATGAAACTTTGTAAATAGATGGGTCTCATTGGGTAGAAGTGCAGTGCTTTTAAGAATCATTACTCTGCCTTGCCTTATTTTGAAGTTATTTCCCTTTGTTTATTTTTACTTTTTGACTTTTGTCCGGGACATTACTCTAAAACTATTAGATATATCAACATGAAACTGTGTAGGTAGCTAGATATCATTGAATAGAACTTCAATGTTTAAAGAACCTAAACAAAGCCTTGTCTAATTTTGGAGTTATTGCCCTTTGTTCATTTTTACACTTTTGTTCATTTTTTTATACTTTTCTGTGTCCAAAACCTTCTCGGGGAGCATTACCCGGTTCAACCGATTCTTGTTATATTTTGAAGTTGTCCGGGACATAACTTGGAAACCATAAGAGATATCAACTAGAAACTTTGTAGGTTGATAGATCGCATTGATTAGAAGTGCAGTGCAATGAACAGTAACTCTGCCTTGCCTAATTTTGGGATTATTATTGCACTTTGAACTTTTTCCAGGGACATAACTCGGAAACTACAAGGTGTACTTTCCTGTGTCCAAAACCTATTCGGGGAGCATCACCTGGCTCAAACTGGGCTCTTATTGGCTCTGGTTGTTGTTCTGTCCGTGCTTTAGCATTCTGTCCGTGCTTTAGCAATTTCATGTGTGCTATCTACCTTTTTAACAGCTCCACGGATATATGTGATCAGTTTTTAGCTCGACTATACGAAGTATATGGAGAGCTGTCCTACTCGCCCCGGCGTCCGCGTCCAGATTTCAGATTAAAGTTTTGGTGCAGTAAAATTTTTTTCACTATAACTTTGTCATTTCTTAAGGTATCAACTTCAAACTTCAAATATATGTTCCTTATCATCAACCACATCTTATGTGACAAGATTCATAACTCTAGCTCCAATATTTTCAGATTTATCTCCCCTTGAATTTAGAATTTTCCTTAAAAAATACTATTTTTTACTGTAACTTCTTTATTTCTTAAGGGATCACCCTCATACTTCAAATAAATGTACCTTATCATCATCCCCATCTTATGTGACAAGGTTCATAACTCTAGCACCAATATTTTTAAGATTTATCCCCCCTTGAACTTAGAATTTTCCTTAAAAAATAATATTTTTTACTGTTACTTCTTTATTATCTCCCGCCGAAAAGGCGGCGGGGGATATAGTAATAGTCTCCGTCTGTCCGACCTTCCGTCCTTCCCTTCGACATTTTTGTCCAGAACATATCTCTAAATGTATTTGAGTTATCAACTTGAAACTTCATAGGTGGATAGATCTTATTGAGGAGGAATGCTGTGCGCAAGAATGATAACTCTTCCCTATACAATTTTTGAGTTATTGCCCTTTGTTCTTTTTCATGCTATTTTGTCCTGAGCTTATCTCAAAAAGTATTTGAGGTATCAACTTGAAACTTCATAGCTGGATGGATCTCATTGAGGAGGAGTGCAGTGCACAAGAATGATAACTCTACCCTGCATATTTTTTTAGTTATTGCTCTTTGTTATTTTTCAAAATTAATTTTTGTCCAGAGCATAACTCAAAAAGCCTTTGAGATATCAACATGAAACTTCATAGGTGCATAGATCTCACTCAGGAGGTGTGCAGTGCACAAGAATGATAACTCTACCTTTCATAATTTTTGAGTTATTGCCCTTTATTTTTCATACCTAATTTTTCACCCGAGTGGAGCATAACTCAAAAGTGTTTGAGATGTCAACATGAAATGTCATAGGTGGATAGATATTATTGAGGAGGAATGCTGTGCACAAGAATGATAATTCTTCCCTATACAATTTATGAGTTATTCCTATTTGTTCTTTTTCATAATATTTTGTCCGGAGCTTATCTCAAAAAGTATTTGAGGTATCAACTTGAAACTTCATAGCTGGATGGATCTCATCGAGGAGGAGTGCAGTGCACAAGAACGATAACTCTACCCTGCATAATTGTTTAGTTATTGCCCTTTGTTATTTTTCAAAATTAATTTTTGTCCAGAGCATAACTCAAAAGGCCTTTGAGATATCATTATGAAACTTCATAGGTGCATAGATCTAACTCAGGAGGTTTGCAGTGCACAAGAATGATAACTCTACCTTTTATAATTTTTGAGTTATTGCCCTTTGTTATTTTTATGCCCCCACAATGTGGGAGCATATAGCTTTGCACTTGTCCGTCCGTCAGTCAGTCCGTCCGTACGTCCCGAAATCTTGTGAACGCAACTCCTCTTAAACCGGATGGCAGATTTTGCTTAAACTTACAGGGATGAACAACCTTAATGTGTAGATGGTAGTAAAGGAAGGAATTTTCGCTGCGACCAAATTTAACAGAATTATGGCCCTTTGTTGATTTTTTCACTAGATACTATGTAGAAATTTTGTGAACGCAACTCCTCTTAAACCGGATGGCAGATTTTGCTTAAACTTACAGGGATGAACAACCTTAAGGTGTAGATGGTAGTAAAGGAAGGAATTTTTGCTGCGACCAAATTTAACAGAATTATGGCCCTTTGTTGATTTTTTCACTATATACTATGTAGAAATTTTGTGAATGCAACTCCTCTTAAACCGGATGGCAGATTTTGCTTAAACTTCAAGGGATTAACAACCTTAATGTGTAGATGGTAGTAAAGGAAGGAATTTTTGCTGCGACCAAATTTAACAGAATTATGGCCCTTTGTTGATTTTTTCACTCTATACTATGTAGAAATTTTGTGAACGCAACTCCTCTTAAACCGGATGGCAGATTTTGCTTAAACTTACAGGGATGAACAACCTTAAGGTGTAGATGGTAGTAAAGGAAGGAATTTTCGCTGCGACCAAATTTTACAGAATTATGGCCCTTTGTTGATTTTTTCACTATATACTATGTAGAAATTTTGTGAATGCAACTCTTCTTAAACCGGATGGCAGATTTTGCTTAAACTTCCAGGGATGAACAACCATAATGTGTAGATGGTAGCAAAGGAAGGAATTTTTGCTGCAACCAAATTTAACAGAATTATGGCACTTTGTTGATTTTTTCATAATATACTATATAGAAATTTTGTGAACGCAACTCCTCTTAAACCGGATGGCAGATTTTGCTTAAACTTCCAGGGATGAACAACCTTAATGTGTAGATCGTAGTTAAGGAAGGATTTTTTGCTGCGACCAAATTTAACAGAATTATGGCCCTTTGTTGATTTTTATTTTACAACTTGTGGCACATGTAGTTCAAAAAAATATTTGACCTAGAGTCATAAGATTGACAGAACAGTGGCGTGTGGGGGCATCAGTGTCCTATGGACACATTTCTAGTTTCATACTTAATTTTTCAAGTCAATTTTTTTCTTAAAAGTATTTGAGGTATCAACTTGAAACTTCATAGGTGGATAGATTTTACTGAGGAGGGATGCAGCACACAAGAATGATAACCTACCCTGCATTATTTTTCAGTAAATGCCCTTTGTTATTTTCAGCCATCAGTATTCACATAGGTTTCAAATCTGTAGTCACTATAGCCATCAGTTTTCATTACCAAAAGACCTTAAAATGGAGTTATTCTGCTCTACTACATATACATTCTTCCAATGAGCAAACACATTCGGCGGGTGATGGCCATGTTGACATGGCTCTTGTTTCTTAGGGAATCACCCTCATACTTCAAATATATGCACCTTATCATCATCCCCATCTTATGTGACAAGGTTCGTAACTCTAGCACAAATAATTTCAGATTTATCTTCCCTTGAACTTAGAATTTTTCTTAAAAAAAAATATTTTTTACTGTAACTTATTTATTTCTAAAGGGATCAACTTCATACTTCAAATATATGTACCTTATCATCACCCATATCTTATGTGACAAGGTTCATAACTCTAGCACCAATATTGCAAGAATTATCTCCCCATAAACTTAGATTTTTTTACTAGAAAAATGTTATTTTTTACTGTAACTTTTTTTAGTTTTAAAGGTATCTACTTCAAACTTCAAATACTTATTCCTTATCATCAATTACATTTTATGTGACAATGTTCATAACTCTTGAAGCAATTTTCACAGATTTATCTCTCTTTGAACTTAGGATTTTCTTTAAGAAATATTATAACTTCTTTACTTTTTAAGGTATCTACATTTGTACTTCAAACTTCAAATATATATTTCTTATCATAACACACATGTTGTGTGACAAGGTTCATAACTCTAGCGTGATAACTTGTAGAATTATTTCCCTTGATCTTGAAATTTATGTTAACAAATGTTATTTTTTTACTATAACTTAATACATAATACATAATTGATTTTTCTTTCATAGTTTTGTCCTCCTTACTGCGTCCAGTATTTTATTAGTCAAGCTTGGCTGTCTCCTGTGACAGCTCTTGTTTATGCCCCCGCCATGTAATGGCCGGGGCATATAGTGTTACCCTGTTCCGTCCTTCCCTCCTTCCGTCATTCTGTCATTCCGTCATCATCAGTTTCCGTTCATTATCTAAGTAACGGTTGCACACATTCAACTCAAATTTGACATATGGATATGTCATGAGAAAATACAGGTCAAGTTCGAATTTGGTCATGGTCGATGATTTTTTTGGCCCCTTTTACTTTGAAAATAATATGAAACTTTCAGTTTCCGTTCATTATCTCCCCAACGGTACAACACATTCAACTCAAACTTGACATGGATATGTCATGAGAAAATACAGGTCAATTTTGAATTTGGTCATGGTTCGATGATTTTTGGCAGAGTAATGCCCTTTTTACTTTGAAAATAATATGAAATTTTCAGTTTCTGTTCATTATCTCCCCAACGGTACAACACATTCAACTCAAACTTGACATATGGATACGTCAAAGGAATGCGCAGGTCAAGGTCAAATTTGGGCATGGTTCAATGATTTTTGGCAGAGTTATGCCCCTTTCACTTTGAAAATAATATGAAATTTTCAGTTTCTGTTTATTATCTCCCCAACGGTACAACACATTCATCTCAAATTTGACATATGGATATGTTTTTCGAATGCCCAGGCCAAGTTCGAATTTGGTCATGGTTCAATGATTTTTGCCAGAGTAATGCCCCTTTCACTTTGAAAATAATATGAAATTAACAGTTTCTGTTCATTATCTACCCAACAGTGTTACATATTCAACTCAAATTTGACATATGGATATGTCAAAGGAATGGGCAGGTCAAGTTTGAATTTGGTCATGGTTGGATGATTTTTTTGGCAGAGTTATGTCCCTTTCACTTTGAAAATAATATAGATACATCTTGGGAATAAGCAGTTTAATTTTGAATTTGGTCGTGGTTCAATAATTTTGGACAAACTTATCTTTCTTGAATGTTGGATAAATTTTGAACTTTCAGTTTCAGCACTCATCCTTTTTTTTGGAAATGTAATACTATGTAGCCATTATTTTGGCTACAAATATGAAATATGCTATTTTCAAAAGGTTAAGACTGAATAATTTCAGTGCCTTGAACATTGTATGAAAATGGTTTGTGTTAACATTGAAAAGTTTTAAGGGCTTTGAACTTAAAATGAAAAAAATAATCTGTGCAAACAAATTTGGAAAAAATATTATAACATCTGAAATTTTGGCTGCATGCGGGGGGCATCCATGGCATGATGACACATTTCTAGTTTTTTATTATCTTATTGAGCTTTTGTGCAAATCCTACATTTCAGATTAAATAGAGAAGATAGTGAGTAAATGAACAATTATTTGATCATCAAAGCTGATATATCGTATTTTAAGATGTTTATTAAAATGTTGACAGCTGACTGATCAAATCTTTCATTTACAGGATGATGGTGACACAGCGGAAAGTTCATTCATTCCTCTAAACGATAGAAGTCCAGAGTTGCCTCCAGATTTGCCAAGACCTGCTCTTTAATGAAAATACAATTCTTCAATTGTGTATTTCCTTGAGATGATGTGTAGGAACTATGAGGCATCTAAGCAGGGTAATGACACACTCGTGAATTCCTCAAGATATTTTTTGTGTGTGTTACTTTGTATCTCCAACATGATCTGCAGAAGTTTTCTGAAACTTTGTAAAAGTGTTTAAAGCAATTGAGACAAGTTGCAGAATGCATGCCTCGGCAATGACACATTTGAAAGTGAAATGATTTAGCCACCTTTTGTGTGTTTCTCTATATCTTATACACTTTGGTGCATATTCAGAAAACGTCAAATGTTTGTTTGGTAAGCTCATAGGGTAGTGATATTGTTACGCTCTAGTAATTGAAAGTCTCTTTGCACCTGGTCTTCTTATCAGTCTGTCTGCATATGGTAATTCTAGGCTAGAAGTTGTTGACTGGAGTTAGAAGTTTGCTGCACTCATGTTAAAACCAGTATATCAAGACAGTTCAGTTTTGGTAGCTTTCTATGGCCTGTTAATCATGGACCAGGTACTATTTATCAGAACTTTGCTAGAGTTCTGGGCTTCACCAAATGTTTGAATTATAATAAGAAGAACAAATAAGTCTGTTTAAATTTTGACGTTTCACTTGAATTTATTTATCAAGTATATAGAAATTTAGTATATTTCAACAGTTAATAATTAGACTTGAATAACATTAAATAAATAAATGAGATCAAAACATGTATGCATCAATGTTTGCATTAGCAATAACAGTAAAACAATTCTTACAATCGCTATTATTTATATAAAAATGCACGAGATGATACGGTATTCAGAAAATACACGAGTCTTTAATTTAAGACTGATAGATTCGCCGAATTGAGATACCAGTTGAACAAAGCATAAAAAGATCTATACCAAGTACTAATTCTTTGTTATATAATAAACAAGAATAAAAACTCTATATAATGTGTAAATTTAACTTTTCTGAACAATTTAGAATGACTGTTGTAAAGTTATCACTTATGAAAAAATTTATCTTCAAAAATCTAGAGCGCACCTTAAGTTTAAAATACTGACGAAAACGTCCGTAAGTTCGAGCAAGAAAAAAAATGTGTGAAGCCAAGATTATTTGTGAGCAGGGTTTATATACTAGCAGAGCTTACAGCTCACAATGTGTGATGTGGGGCTCACAGTTCACATGTCTGTGATGTGAGACTCACTGCCCACCAGTGTGAGATGTGCGGCTCACAGCTCACAACTGTGTATTGTGTGCAAGGTGCTCTTTATAATAAAAAACATGAATATCTTACTTAAAAATATAAGGAAAAATACATAATTCATATATAAATCACTCATTTACCTCAAAGGTTCTCTTTCTTGAATTAAACATCATTCTTTGCAAAAATAGGATAGTTTAAACAGTAATAAATACGATTTCAAATAGCCCGCCTCAGACTGTTGCTAGTAGCAACTGCTCACAGTCAATTCCAAGATGGCGGATCTGCACAATACAGAACAAGGTGAAATATAAAATATTAAAATGCGAAGGATTTAACAAGTTTCTAGAAAAGTTATCTTGCAGAAACATTCATAAACATTGATTAATTTGATATGCAACGTAAATAGTGACTTATAAGCGGGATTATTCAAATTACATGGAAAGATAAACAAGTCGTGAAAATACATGACACAACAGATTCTGGCATGGAAAACATTTAGGGATTTAAACTTCTTACAGACTAGAATAAAATCTGGCATGATACGTGACATTGATCTGATATCTTGTGAAAATTTACTAAGACACTAGTCAACTATTGTGCTATTGCCAGTAAAAGCTTCAAAACGAAAGTAGGATCAATGAATGACAGAAAGTAAAAATGAACAAATGAAGTAAACAGGTAAACTTTTCTAGATCATTACATTACCCCCTGGTTTTCCATGGCAAAACTCCTGTTGCCATAACATTAAATTCATGTCATGTTACACAAATATTGAAGATGTGGTGAACCACCTTAAATTTCAGTGATGTGATGCAACACCTTAAGAAAATATTTTTTTTACATAAATATTACTTTGTGAACATTAACATCATCATAGTCATGAATTTCAAACAAGAGACTAGTAATTACCAAGATAACAATATGAAGTCCTTTTATACATAAAATATTTCAATAATCTCCTTAGTTTTAACATTACATAGAATACACTTAAAGATAGAGAGTAATGAACACCGTAAGTAATAATTCTGTCTAATTAAATACTTTTGCATCACAAATTGATTCAAACCCTTATATATCTACATGTCTAAATTCAAAAACATTAAACCTTCAATTTGAAAATTCATCTTAGAGTTTACATTAATTAAAAGTACATGTTTTACAAATTAATTTTTATTATTCTTTTTCTTGTTGTCTACGGACTTCAGAGTCGGAGAGTTCTCCTTGTCCTCTGTGCGGGGCCTCTTCTCCGATCTTGTTGAACTCTCATCACGTCTGTACCTTCTGGTGTCCTCAACGTACCTTTCCATAGACCTCGAAAGGGTTCTAAGGGATTCGGCCATGGATGCTAAGGTAACCTTTCCCAACGATACCTGGAGCGTATTTTCCAGGTGACCAATTGTTGCTGTTAGAGGCTGGTACTTTTGAGCCAGTTCTTCCTGATGTGTTTTTGTCTGGGTTGCCTGCTCCCGGGTGGTACGTATCACGGGGTTCTCTGCCTCTGTGACAGATGCCGCTCCTACAGGAGAGAACGTCATGGGAGTGCTGGTACCTAGTATTTGATCAAGGACGTTCTCCTCCCTGTTGGCCTGGTGTTGCACCTGTGTGTTGAGGTCATCCTCGTCATTACGCAGCACTGGTATGTGAAGAGGTGTCCGCTTGGCTACAGAAAGGGTACTGCTCTGCGGCGTAGGGACATACACACTACTGGATAACTGGGTGTGAGACTGTCGAGACGTTGGCATGCTGAGAAAGTCGCTCAGGTCGTCAAAATCACGGAGTCCTGGTCTCAAAGGATCATACCTGGGGAGCTCTGATGTGGACGCTGGCACTCCTACCTTAGTGACAGTGGATGGAGCCTTAGGCGTCAAGGCAGAGGTCAGTGTGGCCAGGACATCTGGTGTCAGTCTGACTGTAACTAGGTCCTGGGACTTGGCCACACTAAGCGACTGGGTTGGAGTCTCCTCAAATGGGTCAACGTGTTTAAACTGCTGACCCACTTGGTCTTCTAGGTTAGCCAGTCAGTAATCAACGCCCTCTGTAATCTTAGGGGGACTTGGATTCGCCACCAAGTATCTCCTTTGGTCACCAATGCCAGGTGTATTGGCCATCATCACATGACCCTTGTAGCCCGTCAGGTGTTTTTCCACCTGCTCTCTGGTGAGGCATCTGAACATACAGAGGTTGCAATAAAAAGCCGCCTGGTCTAATGCTAGGTGATGCTTCTGGATATGATCCATCACACGGTACCTCTCAGCTACATATGTCACCTTATTGCCAATACAATGCAGACATGAGTACAATCGGCCTCTCCTTTGTTGAGCCTCCATCATCTGAAAATATACAAAAGGGGGACCCTTTTTTACTTTACAGGTAGACTTGTATCATATAGTTCACTCGGTATCTCGCCAGCGCAGAACTACGATGTTCTTGTACAAAATGTTCGACCGCTGTTACTGCGTGTTCTTCGGTTTCTTTTTGCGTTCGAAAAAGTTCCGCCAATGGAGGAGAAAAGCACATAAAACTGAGTAAAGTTTTAATAATAAAAATAGACATCAGATACAAAAAATATGCGATCAATATACATAATGCTATTGAGATGCTTATAATAACAGATTAATTATTGCTAGATTTAATATCTTTCAGCAACAACTTTTGAGCTCTTTTTAACCAGTTTGGTATTTCGCAACCTAGATATTTCTTCAATTTGTCATGATGAGCGACTCTCTTGGTTCTTTGTCGATCAAGCTGCAATACATAGGTAACTGGTGACATCTTCCTCTGAATCATAAATGGTCCATCAAATTTATGTTCCAGTTTGGTGTAACACCAACTTTTCTGCTTTCATGCAAAGTTCATACTAAATCACCTACATTATACACTGAAAATTCTAGGTTTGAATCATATCGGTCTTTACGTCTTTTTGCGGAAGTTTAAAGATAGCTTCGAGCAACATCATGCGCATTCATCATCCTTTGTCTAATGACTTCTACATGTTCTGAAGGGGAGACAACTTGCTCTTCACGAACATAGCTGAAAACTAGATCTTCTGGCATTCGAATCTCTCTACCGAGGCACATCATATTTGGTGTAAGCTTCGTCGCTTCATGGGGAGAAGACCGATACGCTGCAGCAATACAGCCTAAATGGAGGTCCCATTCATCTTGTTCGACAATGTATGCCTTGATCATACCCAACATTTTAGGTTCTGATATATCTCTCAGTTTGTCCGTTACCCATTGGGTTCTTTGGGCTTGCACGAGTTTTCCTAACTTCAAAAATATTGCAGAGCTCTTTAAAGAGCTTGCTTTCAAAAGCAGCTCCGCTGTGTATTGAAAGGGGTGCGCCCCAGCGACATATAAAGTCTTCTGCTAACTGACTTTTAACAGGTATTACCTCAACATATTTAGTAAAGTGGTCAGTTAGAACTAGAATGTGTTTATTACCATTCCCGGTTTTAGGAAGCTGACCTAGATAGTCGATAGCAAGAGTGTCCCATGGCGCACCACTTGCAAGGTGACCTAGGGGTGCTTTAGGTGTTTTCTTGGGTATCCTGTCTGCGGCACAGGTATGACATGACTGTACATACAGACGGACACTGTCTTTTAATTCAAACCAGTAATAAAAGCTGTAACACCTTCTTTATAGTCTTTCTTGGTACCTAAATGTCCTTTGACAATCGAACATTATGTGACTGATAAAAGTATCATTTTTTTAAACATTCAGGAACAATCATTTGAAGCCCTAGCATCCGATTCATCTAACCCTATAAATTTCCTATAAAGTATGCCATTATGTATTTCTAGGGTGTCAAACAATAACCAGTGATGTCTCGATATTCGACTTTCTCTTTGCATTTCATTACTTGCTGGCTTCCTGTTAAGCTCTTTAGCCTTTATTATAGGCCCAATGTGAGCATCTGCTCTTTGATTTTTTGGTAATTTTCTTTCTGGGAGCATGCCACTTAACCAACCAGGGGATTTAACATTGTTCTGCAAACCTGAAGTGCTTGGGACTTCATCGTCAACTTTCGTAGTCGCAGCTCGAACATAGTTGACCTCTTAAGATGCGTCAATATCGGCGTCACTGTCATCTGGTTGTGTTGATGATGGCATAACAAGTTGCATTCGTTCCGCTTGTCGTCGACACATTACAAGAAACACAATTTAATAGCTCTGACATATCGACTTCTTGACAACGACAATCTCTCGGCTGTGGACATCTAGAAAGAGCGTCACAATGTGGCTGCTTCTTTCCAGGCCATTACTCAATGGAGAAGTCAAAGTCAGCCAGGATCTCCAACCATCGCGCGATTTTACCGTTTGGCTCTTTAAGCGAAAACAACCACACAAGTGCTTGATGGTCAGTTCGCACCAGAAACTTGCGACCAAGCAGATATTGACGAAAATACTGTATAAAGTATACAACGGCTAAACATTCTTGTTCAGTAATGCAATAATTTTTCTCTGCTTTATTTAAGCCTCTGTTTGCATACGCTACTACCCTTTCACGTGAATTTTGAACTTGTGCTAGTATTCCGCCGATTCCGAGACCTGAAGCATCGACATCAAGAATAAAGTTGTCGCCTTCGTTCAAAGCGCTTCTTTAATTAATTTAAAGGCAGTTTCGCAATCTTTGTCCCAACAGAACTCGACCCCTTTCTTTGTAAGATTTGTTAAGGGACGTGCCATCTGAGCATAGTTTTTCACGAATCTGCGATAATACGACCCCGTAGCAACAAATTGCTTGACCTGTTTAGAATTATTGGGTTGGGGCCAGTTCACTATTATGGATATATTGCTAGGATCTGGGCCTACACCATTTTTCGATACAATATGACCGAGAAATGTAACCTCGGTCTGGAACAGATGGCATTTATCAGGGCGTAACTTAAAACCTGCCTGTTTTATTATATCAAGAACAGTATCAACTCTTTCGATGTGTTGATCAAAAATGTCTCCCATTGAAGGCCTTGTAGTGCTAGTTCCATAGTACGCTGGAATGTGCTGCTACTGTTGTTTAGTCCGAAAGGCATTCTGGTCATTTCAAATTGGCCA